CCCCAAACCCCCAAAACCCCAAAACCCCAAAACCCCTACTTTTAAGTCTTGGCTGGGAATTAAATAATAGTATTTTATTTAACAAAGTAAATGTCTTGTGAATCATTTCCAACTGGGCTGATGCTCAGATCTGTGAGAAAGCTATGCACAGCCTTGAGCCGGTCTGCGCAGTGCTTGCCTGCCCTTCTCCAGTGTTGAAATAAGGGTGGTCTCTTGATTTGTCCTTAAATTTTGAGATATGTTCCTGCTATTTTAGTGTGCTCTTTGGGATCCCCAAATTTTTTAAAGTATCAAAAATGCTGTACAAGATCTAGATATTTAGCAAAATTTTAAGGGTTTTCAATAGTTTAAAGATAGGTAACAAAGCTTACCTTGCTTTCTAGCTTAAGGCTAAGAGTCTCAATGACTTTTAGCTCAAGCGCTCTTGCCTGAGTTCATCGGATCAAAGAAATCTTGGTTGCAATCACCCGGAATTAGAGAAATTGAAAATCAGGGAAATTTGTTTGAGCGAATCTTAGCGGAAGTTGGGAAAATATTAGTTCTAAAATTGTTAGCTGAACTAGAGCTTAAGAAGGGATTAGAACCAAAACTCTACTCGTTTCAGACATCTTCACTTTTATTTGTATCTCAATATTGCTAACTTAGACTGTAAAAGAGGTCGACAAAGTTAGATAACTTAATTTTCATTTTAAACTCTTAAAAATGCATTTACACTCTTTCTTCAGATGTTATGACCAATTTTCAGGCGCTTTACTACCTTTAGCTGCGAATCATAAAAAAATTATGTGAAATTGGCAATGAAGATACCGCCAATCATTTTTAACAAAGGAATTTTTCCGATTCATTTTCACGACCACTATTTTCAAGCTAATCTTGAGGATCCCAATTAGCATTAATTTCCAGCTACTCAGTCTAAAATTCCTCTGATATAACAATTTGAATTTTTTATGGCCACATTGCTGAACTTAGAGGTGCCCAACTCGGCAAGTTTTCATTGCTAAACTGTGGAAATGACTTCTAAATTATCATAAAAATTGCTTGTGAAAACTCTTGGCTCTAATTAACTGTTATCTCATCCAAATTATTTTGTTTTCTGTGTCCTAATTTGACCTATATAAGACTCCGAGATGAGCAGACAAGCACCCCAGAATGCCCATGCGAAAGGTAAGCAGCTCACCAAGCCATGGCCAACTAGAGAAGCTTGGCAAGTATTTTCCGATGAGGATTAGTCCATTTTGCAATTTAAAGAGAGAAATCTTTGTCTTGATAAATCCGAATTGCTGGTACAAGAGTATTGGGAATACTAGCCAGGTAATTTTGAAGAAAATAGCATCTGAGATCTCCCTCTGTCCTTCTGAAGTGTACGAACAGATGAAACCCCTATAAATACTAAGAATAGGTCTGAAAAATGTGTCTCATAGTCCAAGCTTTAATTCAAATTTAGCTCTCCATTGCTAGATTTAGTTGGAAATTTGATGAAAATAGTTACTGCTCTTGAGAGCTTTCATTCTGTATTGCCAATCAAGAATTATCATTCCAAAACTAAGAATACTATTTCAGAGAGTCCTCACTACTCAGAATTTAGATGCTGTTAGCCTTATTTTTAGAGTTCCTTGTCAACAAGAAGACATCTCTAGGTACATCAAGCTGAGAGACTGTTAGCCTTGATCCTTTTTAAACAACTTAGATTTGCTAATTAGTAATGTAGCTAATGTAAAGCCAAGCTATTTGAAGACAAAGGTTTTTCCTTTCAATGAGGGTTACTTCAATCATAATTTGTGATATTAGACACCTGATAATGCTTAAAAGGAACCTACAATATAGATATTGAGGCTAAATTAGTAGCATTACAGTGTATCATGATTATTTCCTACCTTAACACTTTTAACTAGAGTAGCAGCACAAACATACTTAAAGAGAAAGAAGAGTTAGTAAACGAGTTCATAATCTACTAAAACAGAAGCTATTTTACCTCATCGGTTGTTGCCAAGTTGTAGGCTATAATTAGCACTAGATGTTATTGTCCTGCTAAATCTCTTTGTTTCATATTTGGACTATTCTGAACATAGAGAGGAAGTTCAGATTAAGTAGCATTGTTATCATCATATCAATTTTTTCGACAAAAGTTTCAATATTGCTCTTGATAAACATCTTGTTATTCCTTCACTAATAATTCTTGGAAGCTTCTGATATTGTTGAGATATAATCGAAAATTGATATTCTGAGCATCTAAATAGTGCTTAATGATAATCCTTGGCTTCATTCCACCTCTAATTTTCAGGAAAAACGATTAATTTGCATTTAAGAAACTTAAAAAATAGTTTAGATTCATGAAAATATGAATAAGTTTCCTTTTTAGTTGCACAAACATCACTAAGAAAGGAGTCCTCCTGGGCCAACACCCAAGTCCTCATTATTTCTTTTAGGCAACAGCAAGCCAGAGGCGAAGGAGCGTCTTAAGAAGAGAACTAGCAAGGAACTGAAGAAGTCTAGTGCTGAAGCACAGATGCTGGCAGGGGAAAACAGGATAGCCAGATTTAAGCAAATCTTCTTAAGACAGAGTAGCCCTAGCAACTCAAGATCACCCATCAGGTAATATTCTCTGATCTCAGGATATGGACTTGGCTCATAAAATTCATATGAGGTTTCATGGTTTCACAGCATAAGACTAGATATAATTTTAGGAAAAGTATCGAATAATCCTCCTTAATTTTGATATTTCCTTAGGAAAACATCTCAATATGAGAGGAGAACCAAACTGAAATTTAAGATTAACTTAGACTCAGCATAGGTTTGCTCAAAAATTCTTTGCTGCTTTTGAATTCATGCATTGTGCATAATCACAGCTATGATCCTGTGTTTAATAGGAACCAAGAGTGGCCATACCTCGCCTTTACAGTCAACTTATTTTGCTGAAATTAGAGCATGAATATGCAAATTAATAGAAGTTCTAAAATTGATGCTGAACTTATAATTTAGACTTCCAACTGTGAGCAATGACTTAAGACACTCGGCTGCAATGATCAGTCTGTCCAGCTCTAAGCCGGAGAAGAGTGTATCAAAGGTTAAGAAAAGCAAATGTGGGCAGAAAAGGTAAAAATTGTTCATTTTAACTTAAGCTAAAGGGAGCTCTCTCAAAATTCAAACTAACTAACTTACTAACTTACCACTTTAGGGTCCAAAGAGCACACTCTGCAAAGAGACCAGAATATATTAACAAGGATAATGACAGCAACAGTAGTAAGGAAGACACCTATACGTATATCCCACAGGTGGCGAATAGTGTCACGTTGTCTACAATTTCTCAGTCATCACACAGAGACATTCCTAAGATTGGCGATGAAGAAAGGTTCAACCTAATGTCTCTCCATAGGGTATACATCAACTGTATGGAATATCCAGATGGGAGAGCTGGCAGGAGCGGAGAGTACAATTGTTCTAAGCTAAAGTACTTAATTCCTCACCTTCCTTCTTACCTGGTTAGCCCATTCCCAAAATAAATCCAATGAGTTTGATATTTTTAATCAATATTTTGACTTAGTTGAGGGGTTTTGGGGTTTTGGGGTTTTGGGGTTTTGGGGTTTTGGGG